AAATGAATGCACAACATACCCAAACCCATGGGACACTATGAAAGCAGGGCTAAAATGAAAGTTCATAGCACTAAGTGCCTACATTAAAAAAGTGGAGAAATCTCACACTAGTGACTTAACAGCACACCTGAAAGCTCTAGGACAAAAAGAAACAGACTCACCCAGGAGGAGTAGACAAAAAGAAACAATCATACTGATGGCCGAAATCAACAAAATAGAAACAAAATGAAACAAAGAATCAATGAAACAAAAGGGTTGTCTGAGAAAATCAATAAGATAGACAAACCCTTATCCAAACTAGTCAAAAGGCAGAGAGAGACCATCCAAATTAGCAAAATATGAAATGAAAAGGGGGACATAACAACAGACACTGAGAAAATCTAAAGAATCATTAGGCCATACTTTGAAAACCTGTACTCCACAAGATTAAAAAATCTAAAAGAAATGGACAATTTTCTGGATAAGTACCACATACAAAAATTGAATCAAGACCAGATAAACAAATTTTAATTTATAGCCCCTAAGGAAATAGATGCAACCATCAAAAGTCTCCCAACCAAAAAAAGCCCAGGATCTGATAGTTTCAGCACATAATTCTACCGGAACTTCAAAGAAGAGCTAATACCTATATTTTTGTTCCACACACTAGAAAGAAAAGGAACACTGCCAAACTCTTTTCATGAGGCTACAGATACCCTGATGCCCAAACCACATAAAGACCCAACTAAGAAAGAGAATTACAGACAATCTCCTTCATGAACATTGATGCAAAAATACTCAATAAAATACTGGTAAACAAAATCCAAGAACACAAAAAAATCATCCACCATGATTGAGTTGGCTTCATCCCAGAGATGCAGGGATGGTTCAACACACACACAAAAGTCTACCAATGTAATCCATCATATAAATAAACTAAAAGAAAAAACTCATATGATCATCTCATTAGATGCTGAAACAGCATTCGACAAAATCCAACACCCCTTCATAATAAAGGTCTTGGAGAGATTAGGGATACAAGGAACATATCTAAACATAATAAAAGCAATATACAGCAAGCCAACAGCCAACATCAAATTAAATGGAGAGAAACTCAAAGTAATTCCACTAAAATCAGGAACAAGACAAGGCTGTCCACTCTCTCCTATCTATTCAACGAAGTACTCAAAGTTATAGCTAGAGCAATAAAACAACAAAACAACAAGAGGAGATCAAGGGGATACAAATTGAAAAGGAAGAAGTCAAACTTTTACTATTTGCATATGATATGACAGTATACATAAGTGACCCCAAAAATTCTACTAGGGAACTCCTACAGTTGATAAACAACTTCAGTAATATGGCAAGATACAAGATCAACTCCAAAGACTCAGTAGCCCTCACACACACACACACACACACACACACACACACACACACATATATATGATAGAGGGGCTGAGAAAGAAATCATAGAAACATCACCATTTACAATAGCCACAGATAATATAAAATATCTTGGGATAACACTGACCAAAGAAGTGAAAGACTTGTATGACAAGATCTTTAAGTCTTTGAAGAAAGAAACTGAAGAAGATAGAAAATGGAAAGATCTCCCACGCTCTTGGATAGGTAGGATCAACATTTAAAAAAAAAAAAAACTAGCAATCTTACCAAAAGCAATCTACAGATTCAATGTAGTTCCCATCAAAATCCCAACACAATTCTTCACAGGCCTTGAAAGAACAATACTCAATTTAGTATGGGAAAACAAAAAACTCAGGATAGACAAAATAATCCCATACAATAAAGGAACTTCCAGAGGCATTGCCATCCCTGGCATCAAGCTCTAGTATAGAGCTACAGCTTGACAACAGCCTGGTATTGGCATAAACACAGACAGTGGACCAACGGAATCGAATCAAAGATCCTGATATTAATCCACACACCTATGAACACCTGATTTTTGACAAAGAAGCTAAAATTAAACAATGGAAAAAAGAAAGCATATTCAATAAATGGTGCTGGCATAAATGGATATCAACATGTAGAAGAACGCAAACAGATCCTTTATCTATCCCCATGCACAAAACTCAAGTCTAAATAAATCAAAGACTTCAATATAAATCCACCCACACTGAAACTCATAGAAGAGAAAGTGGAAAGTAGCCTTGAATGCATGGGTACAGGAGACCACTTCCTAAATATAACATCAGTAGCACAAACACTGAGAGCAACAATTAGTAAATGGGACCTCCTGAAACTGAAAAGCTTCTTTAAGGCAAAGGACACAATCAATAATAAAAAATGGCAGCCTACTGACTGAGAAAAGATCTTTACTAACCCCACATCAGACAGAGGACTGATCTCCAAAATATATAAAGAACTCAAGAAACTAGACATAAAAATGCCAAATAATCCAATTAAAAATGGGGCACAGATTTAAACAGAGAATTCTCTACAGACAAATCTCAAATAGCCAAAAGACCCCTAAGGAACTGCTCAACATCCTTAGCCATTAGGGAAATGAAAATTAAAATGACTGAGATACCATCTTACAGCAGTCAAAATGGCTAAGATCAAAATCACCAAAGATAATTTACGCTGGAGAGGATACAGAGGAAGGGGAACACTCCTCCATTGCTGATGGGAGTGCAAAGTTGTACAGTCACTTTGGAAATCAATATGGCGGTTTCTCAGAAAATTGGGAATCAACCTACCTCAAGACCCAGAAATACCACTTTGGGCATATACTCAAAGGATGCTCAATCATACTATACATGATATTTGATCAATTATATTCATAGCAGCATTATTTGTAATAGTCAGAACCTGGAAAAAACCTTAATGCCCCTCAACCAAAGAATGGATAAAGAAAATATGGTACAATGAAGTACTTACTCAGTGGGAAAAAAAACCACCCTGAAATTTACATGTAAATGGATGAAAATAGAAAAAAATCCTGAGTGAGGTAACAAGGCCCAGAAAGACAAATACGAGATATACTTACTCATAATTGAATATTAGATGGAAAGGATAACAGTTTATAATCCACGACTCCAGAGAAACTAAGTAACAAGGAGAGCCCTAAGAGAAACATACATGGGTCCCCCTGGGAAGGGGAAATAGACAAGATCTCCTGAGAAAATTGGGGGTGTGGGGTGGGAGGAGAAGGAAGGGCAAAGGGGAGGGGGAGAAGACAAGGCAAGGAAGGTATAGAATATGAGGAAACCAGATAGTTGAGATGGGGGAAGGACAGAGAGGGGGAGCAAGGAAAGAGATATCTTGATTGAGGGAGCCATTGTGGGGCTAGCAAGAAACCTGGCACTAGGGAAATTCTCAGGAGTCCACAAGGATGACCCCAGCTAAGACCCAAGCAATAGTGGAGAGGGTGCCTGAACTGGCCTTGCTCTGTTGTCAGATTGATGACTACCTTAATTGTCATCATAGAACCTTCATCCAGTTACTGATGGAAACAGAGGCAGGGAGCCACAGAGGATTACTGGCTGAGCTTCCAGGGCCAGTTGAAGAGAGGGAGAAGCAATGATATGAGCAAAGGGGTCAAGACCGTTGTAGGAGCCTGCTTCTACAAAGTCAGCCAGGGTTCCTGGATTGGGGGTTGTTAGAGTCAAAGGAAATTCAAATGAAAGAAGCAGAGACAGAAGATACGGGATAGAATCGGGAGGTCTATCTGGCAGCCAGTTGATCAAACCAAGAAGCCAAATGGCCCAGAGTTTATTTTAGAACTCGCTTATATAGAAAAGCAGAACAAAGCACAGCACAGATGGTCAGTCAGTATCTAACCACAAGATCATTCCTGTCCTTGAGTGAGCAGCCTCCTCTCCAACATGCGCTTGCTCCTCAGAAGCAGCCTTACTTTCTATCTTGATATGTACTCCTGAGGTTTGGCGTCAGCAGTATACTTCCTACTAGATAGAGTGTTCTTTTCTCACGGGCTACATCAGAAGTCTCTCACAGTCCTCAAGGCTATTGAAAAAAGCAGAACAGGCAAGCTTGAACTCAAATGACTTATAAAACAGAATGGACTCCAGATGGAAACTGAGTCACACATGGGCTCCCACAGATGGGGATACCCTTTGATAAAACTTACCTGAGCTAATGGGAGCTCACTGACTCTGGACTGACAGCAGGGGAACCAGCATAGGACCAAACTAGGCCCTCTGAATGTGGGTGACAATTGTGTGGCTGGAGCAATCTGTGGGACCACTGGTAGTGGGACCAGGATTTATCCCTAGTGCTTGAACTGGGTTTTTGGAGACTATTCTCTTTGAAGGGATACCTTGCTCAGCCTATAGTGGGGAGGACCTTGGTCCTTCCTCAAAGCAATAGGCTAGACTTTGTTGACTCCCCACAGAAGGAAGCCTTACTCTTGCTGAGGAGTCAATGGGGGATGGGGTGGGAGAGACGGTAGAGGGAGAGGGAGAAAGAGAGGGAGTGAGAACTGGGACTGGTATGTAATGTGAGAAAAGATTCTTTTTAAAAAATAATTAATTAATTAATTAAAGGTAATGTAATAATTAAATTCCCAATGGTAAAATAAGCCCCAACTAATTTAGACAGCTGTATGGAAGGAGATGAAATATATATGTTATAAGGGGAATATATAAGTTAAGTTTAAATTTTTGGCTTTGTTTTTTTTTTGTTTTGTTTTGTTTTTGTTTTGCTTTGCTTTGTTTTGTTTTTTACTGGACCCTAGAACCACCATAAAAAACGGCAGTCCAAACCTCCTGGCCCAAAGTTCCATAAGGCATTGCAGTTGTGCAAAGTCAGTGCTGACAGGATTGTATTATTGGAATGACATCAGGGTAGGTGTTTACAATTTAAAATGTATGTTGTGAAAGTATCTAACATCTCTTTCCTTGTTACATACAGCTCTTGAATTCTTGAGACTTCATTCATGAGCTTAGAACCAGAGCAAGCTCAGAAATAGTGCCATTGTGCTGCTACCATGGTAACCAACAGCCAAGGCATCGGAATGCAGGGGTAGCTTCTGTTGTCCTTCATGAGCTGGAATCTGCCACCAGGCCTCCTCTGGAAGAGATGGCCCCATACTCTTGGCCACCAGCTCCCAGGTGACACTTTTCATTAGGAATCTTGGCATCCTGGGCCTTTGATCCATTCCCTTCAGTGTCCTTGTCAGCTTCCTGGTTGGAGAGAAAGGAGGGAAAGCTTCAGAGAATAGCCACAGCGCTCTGAACTCCCTCTTGTGGAGACACTCATGTGAGGAGCTTTGTCTTTTAAGCAATATCAAACTTCACATCCAAACATTTTGCTATTCAACTTTTGAAATCCTGACTTCATGGGAATGAGGCAAGCACTAAGGAGTGTTACGGCACAAGAAGCATTGGAAATGTGAGACAGTCTGGCCGTGGGAGCTCAGTGCAGTTGTGTGACTTCATCACCAGGTGGGAATACATTCTTCTATATGCTTGCCATCTATTCCCTGTAGGTTCATGTATCTGAATCCTTGGCCTCCAGCTGGCAGTGCTGTTTCAGGAGACTGTGGACATTTGGGGTTGAAAGTCCTAGCTAGAGGAAGTGGGTTGCTGGAGGATCAGCCAGCTTCCTGTTCCTTCTCTATCTCCTGATCCACCTAGATGTAAATAAACAGCCTCACACCGTCACTGCTATGGAGTCATTGGCCTCCAAGTCTTTCCTGCTACTGTGAGTCTATCAACCTGTGAATCATCCTTGCTTAAGTCGCTTCTGCCTGCGTTCAGCCAGAGCCAGCAGAAATCTAACTAGTGAAATGCCCCTCCCATCTCAGAGCCCCTGGCACCCCCAGCATGACTTTACCTACCTTATTTTGTGTTCTGCGATACTCATTCAGCACATACTGATATTTGGGTTCGGTAAGACCAAAGAAGACGGCAAATCTTTCACCAAGGAATTCACAAGCTAGAAGGAAGAACAATGCTTGGAGAAACTGAATCCATGATTGACGCTTTGGGTTAGCCCAGGTGCTAAAAACCTAAACTTGTTTGCAATGGCCTGTCCTACCACACTGGGCCTCTGGAATAGCCAGGACCACAGGTATGGATCGCCGTAAATTTGTATCATCGTAAGCCAAAGCACTGCATGAAAACTAGTGTAGGCTGTTCCTCCATTCTCTTATCCTGTAAGGTTTTCTATCTTTTACTAATCCTAGGATAGGCCAGGAAACCTAAAGCTGTGCTGGCTCCTTCCTTCCAAATCAGAGCAACCTTTTCTAACGGGGGCCATTGTTATGGTCCCCAAACTTGTAATCAGACTTTCACGGTTCTCTTAGAGTCTTCTCTTTATGTGTGTTTTCCTGCATCTCCCTGTCCCTAGTTCCCGAGTTGTTCCTATCCCGACAACTATGAGCACGGATTGCAATTCTGGGCACATTTACTAGTCTACACTATTCATTGAAAATTGAATCCCACGAACACATCGTCATTTGTCTTTGTGTCCAGCTAGGTGCAGGGCACGCAATAGGCAGTCAGTAACGCTTTTCTAGTGGATGAATAAAGATGAGTTTGCAAGAGTCACAGTTTAGGTTTTCTCAGAATTCTAAAGTAAAAAGTAATTTTTCTTGCTATCACATTCACGAGCAGACAAATTAGAAGGAAATGAGTCATTATACATTTGCTAATTGTGTTCAAAATGAAATAAACGCAAGTAAAACAAAGTAAGATTCTATGCGCTATAAATAAGCATATAGGATATCTTGTATGTCCCCAAGAGGGGCCTAGAGAGCTCATGTTTATAGCAGAAAAACTGTGCTGGGGGAACTTAGCACTGTGTCATTCGATGTTCTTTTTTAAACAAAAACATGGAAGTGTCCAGATGAAGAATAAACTCAGGAAGGATTGACTAATAGCTTCAATTATTTGCATCTTTGATCCATGGAAGAAGAA